GCCACAAAGTTTGAATGACTTGATCGTCGGCCTTCAGAAGCAGAGGCGGAGCTCTTGCGCGAGGCCGACAAGTGGTTCAATGAGGAAAGGATATGAAGCCTCCCAAGACTTGAAGAAATGTATGTGGCCTTGCCGGACCATGCCGGTCCCAATTCTACCATCAGATTATTGACAAAAGGTTGGAGAATCAGGCTAGTTGCCGCGCACGTGAGTTTCACCCACCATCTCGACGGGTTACTTTCGGCTTCTATGACCGAACCGTGCCGAAGAATTCCATAATCTTAAGAGGGCTCGACAGCAACACTGCCCTTCTGCTATCATTTCCATGGAAAAAGGCGTTGCAGGGACACGGGCGGCGATGACATGGCGGTCCGGGTCTATTGAACCATCCTGTATCCGGCGATCCCGATGGAGTCCGGTACTGGGGTGGAGGAAAACGCTTAAAGCGTCTGACTGAAAGAAATTCTTGCATCGGGCTATCACTAGCTAACGAGAACGTATGGGAAAAGCTTCCTCACCCGAAGTGCGGTCACCCCCTGCTAATAATAGAACATCTACATGTTCTCCCTACCGTATCGGAGAGCCCCGGCGTACTGGTGCCTCCCCTTGGCGAAGTAGTGAACGACCGAGCATATTGTGACGGCACCGCAGATGACAACGCCTTAGCCCAGCGCGCCTACATTAGCGACATGACTTGTCGCTGTGAACGGAGAAAGGACTGGAGAGACAGACTCTGCATGTTCTGCAAATTTGACTTGGGAAAGGGGTGACGATGGAGGAGCTCATACTACTAAGGATGGGGTGTGAAAAATACGACGGTTGCAGGAAAGAACACAGGATTTGCCTCCTGTCATCGGTAGCCTAGGCGCTACTATGCTCGGATCATGGGCCGTTGATGAATCCTTGACTCGCTATCGCGAGGCTGCATGGCTTACAGCTGGTAGATTGACGGCGGTCTCTTATCCTTGAAAGGCGTTTCGCAACTTTTCAGAACGGGAGCTGCCCGTGGAGTTCCAGATTGGCTGTAGCATTAACCTCGAGCTTCAATGAGGTACTCTGGCGTGTCTGGTAAAAAATTTAGGTACGATGTCTCTTGGCTCCCGTCTAGGTTGCCCAGCACGAGGATGACAAAAATCGCCGGACCCGGAAATCACCATAATTGATCACCTTCGCCATGATTCCAAAGATATTTTGATCTTACGGTTTCATCTCTAGGCATAGCTTAGACTGATTGTAAAGCTGCATACGCTGCCCTACCCCTAGGTTACTAACTTAGCTCTATTATCATACGTAACCATAAAGTCCTCCATCGATCACTAACGCAGTACCGTACCAATTTGTAGCCCTTTAAGTCCGGGACTTTCTGTCACCCGGATGCCCGGCGCCACTGCGGACTAGACCATATCTGGTTGTAACCAGCCAAGATACCCGTGATACCGTTGCTCGAATTTCTGGACTTCTGTCACCTCGCGATTGCGGAACCAAACCTAAGATCCAACCGCCGGACAGCCTGCAAGATGCTCATCCGCCCCGCCCGCCGCAGCGACCAGTGGCGCATGGCCGCCATCTGCGGCGCCGCGTTCTTCGACGAGGTCCGAACACATCAAGTCGTCACACCGTGCTCAGGGATGTAGCTCAACTCAAGTCGCAGGACCTCTTCGGCGCCACCATGCATCCGAACCGTGCTCAGTTTCCCGACGATGTGACGCTCTTCTGGCTGCGACGATTGCGCGAGCACTGGTACGACTGGACGAATCACTTCTGGGTTGCTGTGGACACGGACGAGAAGGGCGAGGAAGTGGTTGTGGGAATGGCGGAGTGGCAGCGGCAGGGCGCCGGGGCGAGGGCGATGGAGTTGAGCCCGTTGGATCCGCGTAGGTGAACTCTTGGATCTAGGGTACGCTAGATTGGCTTCTATTGTCGCTTTGCAGCGCGCCGCAGGCCTGAAGTTTTCAAGCCCTTCCTGGAGCGCTCTGGCAAGAACCATGCATTGGGGGCTCGGAGAGGTCGCTGCATACCACCAAGTTCACTATTGGCAGCTCGTCGAAGCCTCCACTCACCACATAAGACTGATGGTGTGCTAACGTGTGCTCCGTAAAGGGAACCTTCTCAAACCCCTCTCAATGCTACAAAACCGCGCCTCCGCCTACATCTACCCCAACCGCGCCGCCGACCCCTCCACCGCCGACCTCTTCGACCGCGCGATTCCCTACAGCAAGCACCACTGGGCCGTCGGCACACGCGCCGAGAACTGGTACCTTGATCTCTTGGCCGTAGATCCTGCGTACCACGGCCGCGGTTTTGGGCGTCAGCTTGTTGAGTGGGGTCTCGATCGAGCAAGGGAGGAGAACGTTCACGCAAGCGTGATGTCGAGCTACGGGAATGAGGCGTTCTATCGGAGGTGCGGGTATGGCGATATCGTGGGGTGGGCATCGGAGGGGGAGGGGAATCCGATTGCGCACGTGAGGGGAGGCGCGATCATGTTTATGGTTCCTAAGGTGGAGGCGGCAGGGGAGGGACGGAAGAGGGTGGAGGAAATTGGGCAGAGTGGTCCTCACAAGCCGTGATCTTGAAGAGCATTCCCGTTGTGTCCTGAAGCGAGTGTCTTGAACCGGGGCTAATCTCCACGACGGGGTTGCGGGTCAAGGTTGACGCTTGTGTGACATTGTGATGATCCGCCGCCTGCGATATCGGGCAGTAACGGGTCGGACGCGACTCGAACGCGATCGTCTAGACGCAATCACTCACCTTTATTCTATTCTCTCATCCTCTGTCCTATAAAATTCGCGTCACATTACGTTCGCGCAGGGTGCTTACAGAACGGTATCCAGCAACCATCATGACTCCGCCGCCAGGGAGAAAACGTCCATTATCCCCTGATGATGCAAATGCGTCACAAAGAACCCCCACCAGTATGAACGCGGCCTCCACGATAGCTTCGCGCAGAAGGGCCGCTAGGAAGAGACGTAAGGCCGTGCGGCGCGTCAAGGCTCTAGGGGCGGTGAGCAAACGTGACGCGGTCCTCTACATCACATCACTTTACAACAAGGTGGTTGTAAAGTTGGACGAGATCAAGGCGATGGTCATGGTCAGTAACTGACCGTAGATGACTCCTGTTCCTGGCATGCGCATCGAGCTAAGCACTCACAGGAACAACTGACGGAAGGTGACGCGTTGGCAGGTGAGGGTGAGCAAAGCTGGGCATGGATTGACGCGGGTGGTGTGGACGACGTCGTTCAATTCTACAACGAGCAGTTCGCGCTCTACGTACTCGCTTGGGTAGCGTCCGACAGGTTCCCGATCGACGATGATATGATGACCGCCTTTCCGAAATACCTCGACTTATTAGTCCCCGATGACTTCGAAGGTGTGGTTCGCAGCATGCTGCTGAGGTTCAGGAAGACGTCGGCTGGGGACAAAATCGAATTCTTCCACAAGGTCTTCCAGTGCCAGAGGATGAGAAGGGGCATGATGGGTAACCTACATCCGTCATGTTTTACTCCGCTTCGCAAGTTGCTGATATTTTGAAACAAAGTCAGCAAGCCAAAACGTGTCCGGATCAGCAGCGAGGGCGATGACGACGGCGAAGGCGACGAAGAAGGCAAGAGGGCAAAGAAAAGAGTCAAAGGCGAGAAGCGGTCAACACACAACAACCGACGCCAGGTACTTCCGAGAGTATTGGCGATACGTCAGCTTGAGCGAGGGGCCACAGAGTGGCGCAGTGGAAAGGTGGTTCAGAGGAATCACAGCTAGCTGTTCGTCGGCAATGGGAGACATGTAAGGAGGATGAGGAGCTGGAACTGAAGCCGGAGCTAGTTGCTTATGTTGCCATGTATACAGCTATATTGCATGTCAATCCTACTTGACTTGTGGAGGCGGAGAGCCACTACTCGCAATTTAGCTATGAACGCGCCTTGCCCGCCCGCTTCGCAGACGTAATGCTTGCTGGTAGAGGCGTTCCAGCGTTCAACGTGAACGGTAGCGTGCTCCTTACGAGAGTGACATCGCGGATGCAGGCTGGGTCAAGGATCCAGGCTGACACTTTGAGCCTCACCCTCTGCCTTCGATGTATAAGTCTGTAGCTCTGCGTCAAACTGAGGTGCGCCAGCAGGAAATCAATGCGGTCCACAGCTAGAGGAAGAAGCGAGTTTGAAGCTGTTCTTCTCGATCGGGTTTTAGCAGGGATTGTTCACGGCGAACATGCACCCCAAAGACGTGACTCCGGCACTCGTCGTCGTAGGTGTCGAAGGAGGGACGTCGCTGCTTTTTGCGCTGTCGAGGATTTCAGCCCAAAGGGCCGTTGCCGCATGGAAAGCTCCTCGTGGCCCTAGAGGTGGTTCGCCCAAGCACACAGCTTGTAAAGCAAAATCACCTTAGGTGACTAGTGCATTAAAGAGCTAAACTGCTAAGTAACTTTTGCTTTCTATCGTGTGGGATTGTCGAGCTGCTCTGCAATTGATAAGATCATAAGGCTAGTTGGATCGTGAATCTGGTATCGAAAAAGCTGGAACATAGATGCGACAACGAACTTTTTGGGTGGGATTATCTAGCTGCTCTACAGCTGACAAGATCAGGAGGCCAGTTCGGTGGTGAATCTGGTATTGAATGAACTGAGCATAGATGCAGCTACGGACTTTCCAAGTCACCCTTCCAAGTCGTGGCCAAAAAAAATGTGAACTGCAGAACCGTAAAATTCAGATTCATATCAGCACCTGCCAACTAGTTTTAGTTTAAAGTGCTAGAATATATTTTAGGGTAGTCGAGTAAGAGCTTACCAACTATATATTCTTCCGACTTACGTTGCGGTTATGACGTTTGGAGTGGTAGACGGGGTTGTGGTGAGGTCGGGGGCTTTGCAGTTCACGTTATTTGGCCACGACTTGCCTTCGTCGCTGCGTTTTGCGCTGTCGAAGATTTCAGCCGCACATGTCCTGATTTATATATTGCTAGCTGAAGTGTTTCCACTCAATCCAGCCCATCTCAGAAAACTGAGATGATTCCTCCGCTTGGTGTAGTTGGTTTATCACGTCGGGCTGTAATGTCAAATTCGCTACCTGAAGGTCCCTAGTTCGATTCTGGGAGCGGAGACTCTTTTGCACCTTTTTGCATTCTTGCATTGCTCCAATCGAGGTTCTCCGAAGTACATTTGGGTCTCCATTTCGTTAAGATGGCGCGGTCTGCAGCCTGGAGACGGGATCTGATCACTTGTTGGTTATTACTAAGCGGGCAATGCAGGGTCTGCCACTCCAGGTGGACGACATCACAAACTCGACGTGCTCGAGTGGTACTCAAAGCAGATACAGCGTTGTCCAGGCAGGAGGAGAGCGGTGATGAGCGGTCGTCGGCTTGGCGCTATACCACAAGCGGTTGTTGCAATTTCCTCCGCCGTCCGTATCGAAGTCTTGCATCATCCACCTGCATCCATCTATACCAAGTCCTGCACCAGGTCCTACATCCTCCGTCTACACCGAAGCCTTAGTATACCACCTTCAACATGGCCGAAGGGCTGCTTTCTGCATGGCAACGTACCTTACGTGAGATGAACGGACCATCTTCTCCAAATACATTGTCCTCTGCGAACTCCTCAAACTCCGTTGAGTCCTCGCAGCCTTCGACACGTCCGAATATCTTACTCCCACCCCCAGAAGAGGAGTATGAATCTCTCGCTCTTGCCGAGACTGCTATTTGTAGCTGGACAGCTTCCCAAGGCTATGCCACGCCACGTCAAAAGGCGAAAAAGAATAAGGCGGGCCAGCCTTATCGTTACCTTCTTAAGTGTACTCGACATGGGAAGCTTGACAACACACGAAAGCTTACGGAAGAAACACGCGTTCGAAAGAACCGAAGCTCCGCAAAGTGCGGCTGTCCTATGAAACTCTGGATTGTTGCAGCAGATATCGACCAGCCCGAAGGACCATGGCGTATTCAACATTGCGAAAACCAAGCCAGCAAAACACATAACCATGGAGCCGCCCCTGCCATAGCCTTTCCTACTCATCGCCGCGCGGACCGGACCGAAGAGATTAAAGGTATTATTCGAGCACAGCAAACGGCTGGGTCGACGGTTGATCAAACAATGGTTATACTGCGAGATTCACATCCAGAGCTACGAATCATACGAAGTGATATCGTCAATGAGAGGGAGCAATATCGCCGAGAGAAGCTTGATACGACGACCCCTACCCAACCTGCACATGCACCCAGAGTCTGGCACGGAGCTCATGGTTGGAGTGACCAATTGGGCATGCATGATTCTGGGACCATGTGTACCGCACGGTAATCCGATTGGATGAGGCGAGTGGAAATTCTGGGAGCTTTGCAGTTATGCTCTTCTTTCCTCAGCGCTACGGTTGGCAGGTATCTCGGTGACTTGCGGCCGCATGATCTGTTCGGAGCAGCGAAGTTGGGTGACCAAGGCGTTCGTTCCAACTTTTCGATTCAGACTCATGTTTTGATTCTACGGGAGATAGGCAAGACCCACGCAGGACAAAAAGACGAAAAGGTGCGAAAGAGTCTCCGCTCCCAGAATCGAACTAGCAACAAAATCGGCCGTCTCTGCCGCAGCTGGGGGTGTTCATGACTTCTTGCAGCTGGAACGTTGAAGCGCTGCGGAGATTGCTTATGGCTTGCCATTCATGTATATTGAGGAAGCCCACTACTTAAAGCTAGATATCCCTTTTCAAGATTTCGAATCCGTTAATCCTCTTTCCGGCGTACATTTGGTAAGCGAAAGACGCAAAAGAGGCAATAGGAGTAGCACGTAACGCCTCCTAGGTTGAAAGCCCGGGTTGTCTTTGTTGATTGAGTGAGGACAAGCAGTGATTATAAGAACAGGCTCCGAGAATGCCAGGTTTAGCTTGAAATGAAGCTAGCCTCGCGTATCTCCTCCGCATCGAGCAAAGTCTGCGAAAGCTCAACGCTGCTGTAGCCAGAACTGGTCGACACAATCCGCCGGGCCGCCCTGCACATTGACTCCTCCTGGACAATGACGGCCATGTATACATATACCTTTGAGATAAATCTAAGCTGCCCATACGATCAGATCCAAGTCGGACTCAGAAGGGTCAGTGAGCGTGTGATCATCCAGAAGATCAGCGAGTTCCCCCGGTGGCAACTCGGGAGCTGTGCGCATCACCACATCTAACGCCATTCGGACTGATGCAGCATGTCTGGCGAACTCGCGGAATGTAGTTGCGTTGTATTCGTATTCGAAACTGGCCACGCGGAGTTTGTACTCTCTAAGGCTAAAACCCTGGGTAACGTCCTCGACAAACTCGCGCTCGGTCATTTTGCAAAGTCCAATAGCTGAACGCCCTCCAATAAAGCCCCTCTCCAGCTCTTGCACGATCTCCGGAGGATCTTCCCATTCAATGGACGCCCAGCCAGCACCATTGTCGTCTTCATCTGACTCATCTCAGGGTGCTAATGCGGCCGGTGTGGCTGCAGTTGCATCGCCGCTTCTTGCCTGGATAGTGGTCTCATCGTGAGTTTGCCTCCTTATCGTTTCTACTCGGTACAACGCGCTCTCCCATACGTCTCGTGGGAGGATCACTTGCCACATCCGCCGCTGCATCTCCAGTCTTGTGAGTTGCTTGCCATAGAGGACGCCCTCCCTTTGCCGACGGTTCACCCAGACTAGCTTATAGAGAAAGCGCGCCATGTGGTCCTCACCATCCCAGTCGGCCTTGTGTGGAAAGTCTTTCGAGTATTCGCAGTACCCGTTCGATTTCCCCCGCCGCGAGTTGTTTCACCACCTTGTCAAATTCGCCTTCCGGGTCGCGCTCACCCTGCCCGCCGCCCCCTCAACCACCCATTAAGGTATTTTTGCCAGTAGGGCTCAACCAGTTCTGAGGAGAGCCACTGCCTCAACTTCTCCACAGATTCTACCTCCAGCAGCTTAGCTAACTACTCTAGGTTCTGGCAGAGGCGTGCTTGAGGCATGGTTGGGGTTGGTGGTTGCGGGCGGATCGCGACGAGGAAGGACGATTCGTGAAGAACGTAGAGTTGCGGAGGAGCGCGGAAGTGAATTCTAAGTCTTTCAAGACGTGAGGATGGGTTACAACGGGCTTGTCGAGGTCAAGAGATGTTGGCGCGGTGCGTGGAAGACAAATCGACGTGCTAACAGACGAGATAAGGAGGAAAAGGGCGGAGGATCTAGGGATGATGGTGAGTGACGTGAGTGAGAACAATATGATCAGAGATCGAAGATGACGGAGAGGCGAAGCGAAAACTCGCTCTCACGCTGATTAGGATAACTAGAAGGTAGGCCGAGGCTCGGAACTTGAGACGGCCCTCACCAACCACGAATGTAGAGCGGGTCAAATAGAAGTACAAGAGCTTTTCGCTATGCCGCCAATATACGCGTGCACGCAGCTCCAACATTCGCGGCCGCAGACTACGACTTGGATACCACGCCAGAGCACGTAATACGTCATCCCAACGCGCGAGAGAAGGCCGCGCGCGTGCCTGATAGTAACTCTCAAGTCCTAATCTCATACGCCAAGCAATTCATACTGTCCAGCACCATCCATATCTGCACACTGTCCGGCTTCGCCAACACCATGCGCTCCTTCTCCAGCGTAGACCTATCCTGCGCATATCGGAGAACGCTACTCTGCTGATCCGAGGTCATTAGACCTTCGGCTTCAGCTGCTAGGACCAGCACTCGTTGCCAGAGTGACATGGTAAGGCCGCCGCACAAACTGTTGTCCCGATAGTCGGTGTCGCTGATGTCGAGGATCGTGTCGAGTGACTTCATCTTGCCGTTGGTGGTTGCCTTGAGTATGGAGCGTTGGGGTTTCGTGCCATTGGCGTGCGACAGTGCGGTGTAGTCGATGACGGTTGCTGTTGTTGGCGTGTTCGTAACACCTGTGATGGCAAAGATTGGCTCTGGCTCTGGCTCGGCTGATGCTGTAGCGGCGAGCTTGGAGGCAAATGTGTGCTGATCTGAGCGACCATTCCGCTGTGTATGTCAGCAATGGTCGGGATGTTCTGACTATGGCCGATTGAGACAGCTCAACAGCTTCCCCGGCTGCCAGAAGTAACAGCTGCGGCACAAGGAGAGCTTACCTCTCCCAGTAGGATAGCGCGTCCATACACTAGCATCTTCAATGCGCCTGCCCACAGCTGAACACTGGTCGGGCCAGTGTCCTCGATGATCGCCCTCTGGATCTTGTTCCGTAGTCGATCGATCTCCGTGCCGTTCGTGCGGGCGTCATGCATTCCATTGGACGGCCGACCTGTCTCTAAAGACAGCATGCTCGGTCGCCGGTTGGTCGCGCTGAATGAGTTGCGACTACATCTTGTCAGCACCGTGTTGTCTGTGTGCATAAGAGGACTTGCCGCCGTGTGGCTTGCATAGCCTGGACGTGCACCATTGAGCCCACAGATGCGGCCATAGGATCGTCAGTGATTCCGAGAAGCTCCTGCCGGACAGCCTCTGCATGCATCATGACCTTGTCACCCGAGCTACCCAGGCTCTCATTCGGAACATACACCAGGCCCCAGCAATTATTCCTGTGACGGTATTCTTCGAGCTGAGTTGCTACGGGGCCCGGCTTCAATGGCGACATAAGCTGCTGAGGAAAGTAGTGCCTGGCCAGGATGTAGGATAGCCATAGCGCGCCTGAGTCTGACAACGCCGTGTCGGAGAGAATGATGTATGGTACAGACCGAAGACCACAACGCCGCTTGAGTATCGTGGCTGCGGACATGGTGAACTGGGTCGGCGTGAGGAGACTGTCGTGTAGAGGTGCTGCCGCATGACCATTCACGGTCAAGCTCTCCATGCTGCGCGCGAAGCTGTCGATGTCTCCATTGACGTGCCTAGCAGCTTCGGCAACCAAGCGCTCGCCTTGGAGGTCTGTTGGGTCAATCGGAGCATGCCATGAGTAGACTCGGGCGAAGATTTCGAAGGGCAGAGGACCAGACAGATCGTTTCCGGTAAGGTCAAGCCTTCGAAAATCGCGGCAACCGGAGAAGGAGTCCAGAAACAGCCCCCAGTCCTGCGTCTCCTCCCGCGTCTTCACTTGGATTTTGTTGTCCGAGAGGTCGAGGTCTTTGAGATCGTACTTCGCTAATTGAATGAC